TAGTTTATAAATCACTGAATGGTTTGGCACCACAAGACATTGAAGATCTGCTGTTGTTGTATCAACCTTCCAGGCCACTCAAGTCTTCTGGTTCTGGTCTGCTCTGCATCCCAAACACTGAGAATTTCCAGAAAATTGTGTAACAGCTGAAACACTGAGTTGAATGTGGACTAAAAATTTAGAGCTGCTTTTGTATCATAATTAAAGAAACACAAACCAACATTTGATGTGTAAATGATGGGACTTGGAAAAATGTAACGTTTTAGTTGTTTTTTTTGTGTTTTTATGGTGTAAAGCACTTTGAACTGCCTTGTTGCTGAAATGTGCTGCACAAATAACATTTGATTTGAGAAGAATGTCTTTTGTCACACATGTAATTGTTTCTGTGGAAATGCAAGTGTCACTTTAAAGCCTTTGGATAACGTTTCCACAAATATTTTTTCCTGACTTAAAATTCGCTTTGAGTCTCGAGGCCAACATTATCAAAAAAAACAAAACAAAGAAAAAAACTATTATTTTCCCATTATATTATTATTGTCAGATGGCACAATTCTTTCTTGAACACTCAAAGCAAAGTTAATGAAAAATGGTCTGATATGTTTACCGGCCACATAAAGTGGTAGTTTTTGGATTTACTACATTTTACAGGAAAAAAAGTTCTGCTAATCGGAGCCTACGAAGGAAAATCTGGTAGATTTCATTGACTAGGTGATTGATCAAATATTAAGAGCAATAGGTCTTCTTGTTCCAAGTGGCACATCAATATCACAGTGGTAGTTCCGCTAAAACAGATTGCGACGGGGTAGGAAGTGTGTGATGTGATCAGATGACAACTGACACTTGATGTTTTTTTATGTTTTTCACAGAGTGAGCTCCTTTGAATCTTAAGAGCACATAGTCTCCTTGGAGACAAGATGGCGTCCCACAACACTTTACGCAGCTACTCCATCATCCCCTGTTTCATCTTTGTGGAGGTAAGAAGCTGTGTGTGGGTGCAAGTGATGAGTCCAATGCATAAGATTCTTAGAAATGTGATCATGTAGATGCATCGGGGATTCATGATGAACTGTAGGAGCCTTTCAGGAAGGGACATAAAGTTCACATTTACTATTGGGTTAGGTGGAAAACCTGCTGCAAAATTGGTTGTTTTTGTTGTGTTTAAAGGAGGATTAGAGTTTGACTTTTTGCATTAGATAGTTGAGCACAATTACAGTGATACTGTTTTTTTTTTTGATATATTAGCTTGTGTCATGGATAGATCACAAAATGCACTTTAAGCTACTTGGAAACTTGAGATTTGTTTCAAAATGTTATTTAAAGTTTAAAGCAGAGTTATGTCTACGTCTAAATTCTGTCTCAGTAGTCCTGCAGTATTTCCTATTTTGGTTTTTCAAAATAAAACGGGTCCATGTTAACACCGATCATCTTTATTTCACTGTTAGCCATTAAAAACTGTACTTGTTTTATTCCAACTCTCTGGTGATACAGAAATGATATATATGCATGAATGAGGATTTATGTAACTGCAAATGACCTTTTTTTAGGAGAATTATACACAACTTACCAGAACCTAAATCAGCAGAGGAAGTGGAGAGCTTAATGTTTATTTCTGTGTGCGTGTGTGTGTGCGTGTGTGTGTGTGAGAGGTAGAGCTCTGCAGCCTATCCATATTTAATTATAGCGTCAGCTGAAAGTCCTTAATCAGAGAGATGTCTCGGGACACTTGGCTTTCTTCTCCCCTTTCTTTTAATATTATGCTCTCAATTGCACTCATTTGGCCCCTCATAAATGTATTCAGTTTTTGCTTTTCTGTTACACTTACACGTTTGGAATATCAAACAGACCTAAATATCAGACAGTCACAGCCTCTTTAAATACAAATGTAATTTATTAATGCTGTTTTAAGAAACAAAAGGTCTTTGTGAATGCTTCACAGCGTTTTGATTTGATCTTGCTCCTGATTAAAGTGGTCCAGCGTTGAATTAGTGCTTGGCTGTTACCAGGGTTTAGAACCAGAGTTAGGACTCTGTTGAAAAAACAAAAAATTGGCGCAAAGTTGAATTTGGGTCAAGATGTTTTGAAGACGAGGTTAAAACTTGGTTGATCTGAAAAACTTCAACATCAAAATCATCAAACAGAAGACACTTGTAGGGAAGATAAATACTTTTTCTTTGGCTTTTTCAGTCATAATTTCACTTTTGAGCGATTCTTACTTGCATCCCATTATTATTATTATTATTATTATTATTATTATTATTATTATTATCCATTATGTTGTTTATTTTTGATGTTTTTTTCCATCTGAAACTAAAAAGTAAAAAAAAAAAAATCTTACCACAAAATATGTTAGAATAGCAAGGGAAATATATTTAATTTCAATTAATAAGACAAATTTTTAATATATGTATATGCTTCATGACATTTCTTTTATTGCATCCTCCTCTTTTGCTGTGGCTTATTGCTGTGCAATGTGAAAATTTTCCGGTGTCATGGCTGGAACCTGACATTAAATGTTTAATTGGGCTTTGCTAATTATGGCTTTGCAGTTTGTTTACTGATGTGTCACTGGGAAGGAGTTGAAGGAAAACCCTAATTACATTGTTGATGTATAAACACATTTCTGTTTAATGCTGCCAACTGCGTGTTCAGACGGATATGATGCTGAATCTCTCCAACAGATCGACTTTACTGCTTGATAAGAGGGGAACTAAATATTGATTGCAACCATAAAGGTCATTTTTGATGTTGTTCCGGGACTAGACTGCTCATATCCTTGCTTTTCAAACTATAATTGGGTTTCTTTTACTGTTGTTTTAATCTAGGTGTTGATTTTTTTTTTTTTTTTGTTAGAAATTCATGTCAATGTCTGGTGTCGCTTACCTACGTTACTCATAAGATTACTTTAGGAGAAGACCATCTCGTCTAATTTGTTTCATTAAAAACAAAATGGAGCTATGCAATTCCATCTACCACAGTGATTTTTGTTTCATGGGAATTCTAAGCTCTTTACTTCATGTTGTCAAATAAGTAAAAAAGCTATTAAACGGTTTTTCACTGAAACTCCTCCAAGACTAATAATGAATACTTTATGGGAAGGTATTTTATGAGATTTTAAACCTTAGTTTGTAGAAAATGAAGGTATTTGAAGAATGTTTGGCTATAAAATAAATAAATAAATAAATAAATAAAAACCAGGGATTTTGTGAGCAGGTTCTGTCAAGTTGCTCTCAATGGCCCCTTTTATTGGGTACAATTACTTGCTAATACAAATAGCAAAGCAGCTAGTCACACAGCAGCTTACTGGCTTTTAGACAACTTGCTGCATCTAAAAAAGGAGCAACAGAACGGCAGAAGGGCTTGGACATGTTGTGGATGCCTTGTTTATATCAGAAAAAATCAAATTGTGAAGTAGAAGCATCAAGTTAATTAGATATTTTAACGATTTCAGATAACTGATTTAGCTTCAGGTTAAAAATCTTCCATTGTTTCTGAAAAGCGTCTTCTGTGCTGCAGGCATCAAAGAGGCCTTGGACACAAACAGTTAAACTTCACGCTCTATATCATTAATACACACGTCCACAAGATGGTGGATCAAAACTCTTCTGGTTTATCAAAAGGCACATCTGCACACAATAATGTAGAATTGGACTGAAAGTCGTTCTGCTTTGTTGCTCAGCAGGAAGGCCGACCCTCTCAGGTAACATAACTGCATACATTTGTAGATTATAAATGGAAGGAATCGCATACCGCGTAATTAGTCTTTTACATTAGTGTACTAATGTAACACTATTGTAAAAGTTGCATTATTATTTCAAACATTATATAGTTGCTTAACAAATAGAGATATTGTTGGTCATTTTCACTTGAGAGGACATTTTAGGGCTCTGCTTAATGTCATTGGATCTAAACACATGAAGATGTGTTCTTAATGACCCTCTGTTCTGCATGTTATTATTCTGCTGTTGTAGGTTTGTGTCTATATTTGCTTTCTATATTTTTTTTTCAGGATTTTCCAGCTTTTCTTGGTTCATGTCTGTAATATCCATCATCTTTCTTTAACTCCACAGCTAAAGCTCGTTCCTTTCCCAAGTTTAACTATATTTTAAATATATATATATATATATATATATATATATATTATTTTTTTTTTTCAATTGAATTCTCTCTCTTTTTCCTTTTTCTGTTTGTGCTTCCCTGCTTACTTGTGTCTTTGTCCTTCTTATTCTCCCTCCTTCCTTCTCACCCTGCCTGTCACAAACAGAAGAAGGCAGAAGGATGCCTCTGTCACATGACCGAAAGAAAACACCCTGATTGGATACGGCAATGAACATGTAGCTCCGTGCCAGGGGCTGTGCGACATAAAAGATGGTTATTCTTGAACATGCCACTTGTGGCACTTTTTCGTCTGTTAGTTAAAATCCTGATTATAATTTGCTTCCATGACATTCTGCTGCAACGAAGAAACTCACACTGTCAGACAGAAAGCTACAGTGTAGTTAAAAAAGAGAAAAGTGTTTGCTAGGAAGCTGGAACACAGGGGATAAGAAGCAATGATGAGACAGAGTGGAAGGGGGAAAAATAAACAGGAAGGAAGTAAAACATCGCTTATTTGACATGAAGGAAGGCAAATCTGAAAAGGCAATCTGTAGACTGAGGCGAAAACGGATATACTCTGCATGAAGTTACGTAATGCGCAAAGCTGCAGGCATGCATTTTGTTAAAAACGGGTCAAAGTAGACTTGTCAGATTTCTGATAAAAATACAAAAGCCTTAAAGCAGCATCTTAAAACAGCATTATATTGTCTATAATATACAGCGCCTATGAAAAAATACTCATCACCTTGAATGTGTTTCTTTTTTTATCCCCTTTATAAATCAAACATGGACAAAATTATTTTTTTTTTGACAAAATATTGCAAAAAAAACCCTCTTCAATGGAAAATTAAAAATCTTTCTGTAAAATCACGACAAGTAACTGAAAATACTTACCATAAAATAAGTGATTACATAAATATTCAACCTCTTTGACGTGACTGACCTAGTTCAGTGCTGCAATGAGAAAGTTACTCATAGCAGCTGTGGTAAAACTGATGGTGAAGAAAGTTCTTTGGTGATGAGACCAACAAGGAGCTTTTCAGCTACCAGACAAGAAGCTCGTCAGAGGACACCAAACACAAACAATCACCACAAATACACCATCCCCAATGTGAAGCATGGTGGTGTCAGCATCATGCTGTGGGAATGCTTCTCAGCTGCAAGCCATGGAAGGCAAATGTAGAGGGTAGAATCAATGCAGCAAAACTGTAGAGAAATCCTGAGTGAAAGAAAACTACGGCTTTGGACAACATGTATTCCCCAGGAAGACAAAGACCTGAAGCATCCAGATAAAGCTACACAGAAATGGTTTTAGGACAACATGGTGAATGTTCTGAAGTGGTCCAGTCAAAGCCAAGACCTCAATCTGACAGAGAATGTGTGGCAGGACGTAAAAAAAGGTCTGCTGATTTTATGACGCATAATGGAGCTTGAACAGTTTTGCCTGGAAGAATGGAGCTTAAATGCAGCGTCCAGAGGAGAAGGTCCGATTGAGAAGTGACGACCTGTCATTGCATCCAAAGGTGCCTCAACTACATGCTGACTTGAACTGGGTGAATATTTATGCAATCACTTATTTTATGTTAAATATTTTTATTTGTCACTATTTTGTAGAAATCCGTTTTCACTTTGATATCAGACGGTTAGGTTTTGTAAATTCTCTTCGCCAAATTTATACTTTTATAATGAATCTATAAAAGCAATAAAAAGGGGAAAGCAGCCAAGGAGGTGAGCACTTTTAATAGGCACTGTAGGCTTCTGAACTCTTTAAAAAAAAATTTTATATTCTTTTATCTTGCTCAGCATTTCATTTTCCAGCAAGTGAAATCACCATTTCCAAAGCAAGGAAACGGTCAACAATAATTCAAAAGATCTGATGTTTTTTTTGTTTTATCATTTATTTTATGGTTGCACTGCTGAGCAATGGGATTTACCGTCAGGTAACTGCATTCTGGATGCGGACTGATCAGCAAATGGGCTAATTAAAGCTGATGGTTTGGACAGGAAACGCAGCAGTGACTACAGGTGGAGAGTTTCTGCTTCCTTTCAATAAAAATCTGCTGTCAGCACAAGCTGCTGTACTTCAAATTAGTTGTGAAACCATCTGAAGCCTAAAACATCCCATAATTGTCCTATGTTTTCTTTTTTATGTAAAGGAATATGGTACATGCCGTCCAAGAAAAGAGAATAACTCAATTCAATTAAAAAAAAAGAGAGGAAAAAAAAAACTTTATTCCACTACTTGTACTTTGCAAACAGACTTTGCTTTTTGTTAATGGTTTAAAATAACACCTTAATCATTGTTCATTTTAATGGTGCTGATTTATAACATGGTAGAGAGCATTAGAATAAAAGTAAATTTAGCAAAAGCAGGGGAAAATACAAAAGAATAGCGAGCTCTCATGTTGCTTCAGTTTGACATCAAAACTGTAACGTCAGGCTCTGTAGTTGACAGGTTAGAGTCGGATGCCTATTTCTGTCAGCATCTTCTCTGGTCTGCTAACATAACTTGACAGTGAACTGAAAAACCGTGACTTTGTGCAGGATTTATGAAAGATCTTTCCGTCTGACTTTATGATGCGAGGAAGTGACGACTCGGGTTAGATTTGTTTCATGCAAGTTATTAAAAGTAGGATAGAGCTGAGTGAGGACAATTTTGAAAAAAAGGGTTTGAAGATGAAAAGAAAGAAGGTAAGATGGTAATTGTGCTCAATTTTCAACTTTACTGCCAGTCAGACTTCTAAATAATTCAGCATCAGAATCAATGCATAATTATTTGAGATATTTATTTATGTTTTTTAAATAAATGTGAAACCTGGGGATGGGGGGCTGAATTGTAACTGAGGAATAAATCGGAGTGTTCTTTACTACCATCATCCAAATAATATATAACTGTAGAAAACCTCACAATATTTCTCATACTCTGTTGGAAAAGAGTAAATAATTTCAAGCTTGTTTTGTGGTACAAAACCATAAATTTTCCTTGACACTTACCGACTAATTTATTAAAAGGATTATAGTCTCTGTTCAATTTGTTTTGATAATTCACTAGTTCAGCACCTTATTATCATGATGCTTTCTGATTATTAAACTATTTTTGGAATTTAATGTTTTTGTCCTTGTGCTATTCTGTATGTCGAGGTACATGTTTTACTCCAACATTTAAAGAATATCTGTGGAACCGTTTTTATGACTGCCAGTCTTTTCGGTCTGCTGTTCACTTTGCTAATGCAGCATGACGCGGGCTGAGGACTGAATCTAATAGACCTATAAGTTACACTTTAAGCTGCAGACAGACATTTTGTTCAGGTGTAGAACTGTCACATAAAACCAGCTCATGAAGACTGTACAGAAAAGCGAAAGCAGCCGCCAGGGATTAGACTGCACCTCTATTTTCAGTTCATTGGAGTTACCACACTTTGACATTTTTATCCAAAGGTAATTATAGCACTGGATCACAACCAAATGTGTTTTGTCACGGACTTGTTGACACGAGAGCCGAAGAGTCGGTTGAAGCTTGGAAAACAGAAATTGCTTTTCCCTCATGGCAACATTGATGATGCTTTTCATGTCTAGTGGCTAACTAGTTCCTTTTAGACTTCTGGGATTTATAGTGTAGGGAAATGTAACTAAGGGGCATTTTAGCAATATAGTGCAGAATACATGGACAACAATAAAATGTAATGTGGTCAGCATTTAAAAAAAAAAGACTTGAGTTTTGAGTCTCTGACTCTGACAGTCGTTGTCTGGAATCAATCAAGCTGAAAATCAGGTTTGGCCATCTGATGATTTTTGATTCATCTTCTATATTCTGTGTCTTCCAACGTGAAATTTTTCCTGTTTTTGAATTATTATTTTTTTTGTTCCCCAAAGGCAGATGTTGCAGTTTCGAGCAATTTTTTTTTTTTTTTTTTTTAAAGTTCCATAATTTATAGTAAAACATTAGATCAGGTTTTTTTTTTTTTTTAGGTGCTGCAACATTCTTTACTTTATGTTTGTAGATCTCTGGCAATATTTTGTCTGAGCCTTTTTAATATGTATTTCTCCTTAAGCCTGACTCACTTCTGCGTTCCTGCAGTGCATTACATGACATTTTGGGAAGCAAAGGAATTTGCATTTTACACTATGAATAACAAGCATTTTTGTCCAGTTGGAGCTTATTTGCAAAGGTGTTCAAAATCATGAAAAACATCAAGATTATTTGTATTAATCTGACATTTAATTTGCTTGTTACTGTTAGCTATAGGTACACTTGTGACATAGACTATGTGAATGCCTACTTTTTCAAATAAACATATTATTCATAGATTGCAATTAACATTTTTCAGATTTTCAGAGCAATAGCTACCAATGTGATCTTTGTAAGATATGGCTTAACACACTGCATCATTTGGAAGAAAATATGTTGTTACCAAGCAAAGATTTGCATAAACACACACAGATAAAGCATGCACAACACACACTCACACCTGGACAACACAACATAGCCATCTGTTAAAAGACTGGATGTGCCAGTGCAACACTGTTAACCATCAACACACGTGTTTTCAGAACCTCAACATTCCAGACGACTTCCTGCAGACTGTTCCTATAAAATTAACTTTAATTGAAATACTTTTATATAAAAAAAACAGCAAAGGCTTGACACTAAAGATATGTTTGTTGCAGAAATGTGAATAGTTTAAAGCAATCACAAGTTTGTTGCTTTAAATGTTACAGTTAATCATTTAAGATAAATTGGGTAAAAGGTTATGAATTTACCGGGGCGGCTGATGGCACTTTGTCATTGACTTTACAGCAATTCCTCATCATGAGCATGAATGTGGTAACGGGGTGTGGGGTGGGGGCGAACAGCTAATTTTTTTCAACAGGAAGAAACTTCCAGTAAAGCCAGTAAAGCATCTGCCATGGCAGGAAAATGGGTTGAGATGACAGGAATGAAAAAACTAATGTGGCTCAGTTCAGGAAACTGACACAGCAAAAAACAGAAGCCCTGAGCCAGGGGTACTTTCTATGGGAAAGAAAACCAAAGGGAGTTCACATGATTAATGGCAGCCATAGCTCTGCTAATGAATCATCTCTGAAAAGAGACATAATTGAAGCACCTGGCCATGCATACTTCTATGAAAAGACAAAAGCAGAGGAAGAACAGAAAGTTAAAAGCTGGTCTGTGGTGGACCCGTCCGACAGCAGTTTGAGTTCCAGTTATTTCACTGCCACTTCCACATGTCCTTTATCAATATTTATACTAGTTACATTAATTTTTGGGAAATCATCTGAATATTTTTGGTAAATTTCAACAAAATCAGATGTCTGTCTTTTTGACCGAAACAGTTTCTGTAGTGACAGTGACACTTAGTGTTGGACACAGGTACTACACACTGCTTTCTTGCTCTCATGCTTCCAGAATCACACAGACCTCTGTTATTGCAATGTTTAAAATTGTAAATATGTCTTTTTTTTCCCCCAGCTGTCTGCATGCAACATCTTTTCTCTGCTTTTCTACAGTCCAGTGTACAGATTGTACTAAACTAGAATTAAATTTAACACCGTCACCGTTTATCCTTCTCTTCTTGCTTAACTTATGGAGTGCTTTTGGCAGCTTTATGGCATGAAATCGTCTCATCTATCCTGTTTGACGTTAACCCAAACGGCTTCTTCGATTGGCTAGAGTTGCAGCACATCATCGGATGAAAAGCACGACTGCGGCTGATTTTTTAGAAACCTCGCTGAAAGCCCCGCTGTGCAGCGCGGTGCATCTTCTGTTCCACTGCCGGTCCATTATCGGTGACTAAAGAAGCTATATATAAACAAAATATATTTATATAAATGAAAGATGCCTGCAGCTGCGTTTAGAAAAACACATCAAAAGGAGGCCAGAGACAAAAAGATGATGATGGTGGGATAAAAGGATGAGGGGGTGAGGGAGGGAAGCGGAAAGGGATGATGATGGTTTCTGTATGCGTGCGTGCGCGCGTGTGTGTGTGGGGTGGAAGGGGTTGGGGGCGGGGGGTTTGCATCACAAGAGTTAGCATGTGATCGAAGAAAAAAAGGGGAGAGAGAGGAAGAAAGACGTACAATTTTAGAGGATTTATGTTGTTTTGATTCAAATCTGCTTTATTACCTCAGAGAGAAGGGAAGAGCGACGTTCAGGAAGCGGCCTTGAATAGCCCCGTTAAAGAAAACAGATTCTTAACCTAAAAACTGTGTCAGACCAGCCTTAACTTGCAGTAAAAGCTAACAACTCCCTCTTTCACTTTTTTTCTCCCGCTCCCTCCGTCCATCTGGCCCCGGCATGTTTTTTGTGCAGCTCGTCATCATGTCTGGCACCGTGCTCCTGGCCTACTACATGGAGTGCACGGACCTCTTCGGTGTGCACGTGCAGGGCTTCTTCTGTAACGACGCCGAGCTGATGAAGCCGTACCCCGGCACTGAGGAGTCCAGTTTCGTCCCTCCCCTCATCCTCTACTGCGTGGTCGCTGCTGCTCCCACTGTTATAGTGAGTAAAAAAAAATAAATAAAATTCTACTAAAGTTGTCCTGTGATAATTGTCATGTCTATGGCTTTGCTATATTTTGGATTACAGATTATATGCATGTGCTGTCTTGATTGTTTTTTTGTTTGTTTTACCACAATTTCATGTTTTGGTTTTTAATAAAATGAAATATTTTAACTATATCTTGTATTAAAAAAAATACTTGCACATTTTATATTTTTATTAAAGCGTTGGTATTAATTGTGCCATTTTACAGCACAATCAGCTAACCATGTTACCTTCAGTTGTTATAAAAATGCTGAATATATTCAACATAACCTAAAAGAAATTTGACTTCACAATTTGACTGGCCTCTGTCTCTTTAAAAAGCTCCTACTGCTTGTCAATTATGCTGTTTACGACCACTGCACTGAGATGTAGTTGGTATGGTAAGCTCAGTAGATGCACTGTTCTGTTTTCTAATTGCTGCTGCCACTAGTCTAGAGGAGCTGTGAGGAGAAGGAGAGGGGAAGGTGTGCTCTGTGAGGCGGAAGCTCTGCTGGAGGCTGCAGCTCCAAGAAGGAGCTTTGTGGACATAGGCAGTGCATTTAGGCACCCCTGGATGGTTGCCACGGGTGATTAAAGGATTTCTCGAACATACTTTAAAGAATCAAAGCAATACTCCAGTTCTGTTTTTGGTGCGGTAATGACATCATAACATGACAAAAAGCTATGAAAAGTTGATTATACATAATACTCCTCTTTAAGTTTTAATGGTGATTTTACTCTATTTGTGGTGTTTTTTTGAAAACACCACAATATATACATATATATATATATTGCTTTGATTACTTTCCCTCATTAATTTCTATAACATCCTCCATTATTGTTTGTATCCTGTGAGATAACTAGCTGTGCTATGCATTTTATAGTCCAATATACACAATTTAATCAACAGCTAAGCTTGATTTTCTTGAACACGTATAAAAAAAATCCCGTCACATTAGGTCGACAGCTCTCAGATGCTATGTATCTTGAAAGCATTCACCACTACTGCAGAATTAATGAAACTGTGACAAATCGATTAAATAATTCAGTATCCTACCTGCTTTACCTAATAGTAATACTTTAAATATTAATGGCGCTACTTATTTCCAAGTTATGCTCTGCTAAAATGATGGCTTACTCACTTCAGTATGCTGGGTGCTTGAAAATGAGAGAGAAATTGAGCATATGCTAATTATGTAAACATGTGTGGCCACTTATTAATGACAGAAGCTGGCTATCGATAGAGTGTCTGCTATTCTTAGATATAAATAAAATAAAATGAATAAAATGGGGATGGTAGCATCACAGCAAAACCCCATTCCAACACAATGGAGCATTGTCAATTTTGCATACTTGATCCCAGTTCCCATGCACTGTTCTGAACAACAGTGTATCCAAACTGACACACACATCTCAAAGACATGTCTAGACTTGGTATTTTCCCAATTCTCCTTTCCTTTCCCGTATTTTGACCTACGTAACACATGACTTTCAGTACACTAGAACGTATTGGAAAATAGGAAGCAGTGTGACAAGTACAACGCTGTTTCTTTAAAGGTCAGCAGATATTGAAAGTAATTTTAAAATATTCTTTAAGAAAAATTATAAAGCTAGCACTTTTAACCTATGCAAATCTGTCTCTACCCTGTTAAAGTTGTGAAACCATTCGTCATAAAATGAGAAGAAATGAAATTGCTCTAGCCTGGTCATATCCTGACGTTTGGGCCTAATCTTTATTTTGAGCATAACATTTGCTGGTAATTGTGGTAGTGAAGTGTGAAGCGTTACTCTAACACTCCCACTGGTCCTTTTTGCTGAGTTTCTTTCAGCTATTGCACATTCCTCTTCCTTGGCAGCTTTCGGCTACTTTCTGTCATTTAGCAATTGCAAATCTTAGGAAACGCAGATCCCACGTAGAGTTTTTGATCTTCAGGCCACCTACATTTAATCTCCATCAGCTTCCCCTAGCTCGGATTATGGTAACTTGATGATGCATGACTTTTTACTTCCGCTTCACCTCATGGCCGCAGTCCACTGCAGCCACCGCATCGATGTGTCAATATTATAAATTAGTAAATGGGTCAGAATTTTCTCCAGCTAATTACAGAAAAGAAAGTTTTGGTCCCAAAAATGCAAAGACTGAGATTAGCGTTGAACTAGATTCAGTGAGGCTACAGATAACAGAGCCAAGAACAAACCAACACATCATTATAGACTGACTTTTGTCTTTAATTAATACCACTTTGTATCCTGTTTCTTGCAAAACAGGATACAAAGAATTTTAGTACATGATTTTATTTTTAGATTGTTGTAAAAATGTCTTTGATCACTCAGATCATGAGAGATCTGTTTATTCAGGAATAAACCTAAGCAAGGGGATGAAACATTTCTTTAAAATGCTCATTGGTTCTATAATCTAGAACCAACTCTGAAAACCTGAGGTATGTAGAAACCATTTGTTTTCTTCAAATTTGTGTTTTTAAATAAATGTTAAATGTTATTCATCTATTTTGAATTTGCATTTTCATATTTTACAGAGTTCCTACCTCATTAATAATTTGTTTGAAAGCATTTCAAATGACTTTTTGCATGGATGGCATTTACAAATACAAACGTTGAGCTGTAGCGACTCCAGTGCAGTCTCCCCCACGGAGCCAGCCGTCTTTATCAATGTGCTCAGTGTCTTTCGGTCATTAGCGATGATGCTGCTTCCTCAACTGATCGTTGCACAGAAAAAATAATGTGGTATCTGGCAGCAAATGCTGAAAATCTAAGTCTTTCTCAAGCAAGATATAACCTCTTCTTATTGTTTGTCTTTTAATTTTCGTCTATTATTTTTGTTTCCATTTCATGCTGAATGATACCCCCTTTATATTTTTGTGTTCATTTTTTTGTTGATCTTGACACTTGTAATTATTAATGTTGATGATCTTTTCCCATGTCAAAAGACTATTGGTTAAAAATACCACTTGTGAAATTTACAGCAGTTAGCCACCAGGTGGCAGTGTTGCTCCATTCTTAAACTTTAATCCAGACATCATGACTGGATTTCTGTCCATTATTAAAACAAACCATAATATGTTATTATTATTATTATTTTTTTTTTTGCACGATTAATTTCTCCAATTTTAAAGTGATATGCATGTGAAGTAATGTTAATCAAAACAGACCACATACATTTGCATTAGTGTGCTATGCAAGTGTATTAACCTGGTGTCAATATCAAGCTTGATATGGATTTAAAAAGTTTCTTCAATGAGATTGTTTATCTAAAATATATTAATTACTATAAAGGAATAAGACAACACATTTTCACTTTTTATTTCAGTTCATCAATGTCGATTTTGGGATTTAAAAAAGTCTAATTTTTGTGTATTTAATGAATGAATCATGAAAGAAAAAAAATAAATAAAAACACCCACATGTTATGCTACGATAAGTAGAGATCAATTGTGAAACAGATTGCACTGTTTATTCTCGGTCCGTCGTTTTAGCTCTGACACAACCAAGCATATAACTTTTCAAAAATTGGTGCAGATCAACAAAGAGTGAAGACTGAATGAGGTAACTCCTTGGGTCGGCTTGGCAATTTAACGGAAATCGGAAGAATTATATATCCGGCTGGCAATAGTGTGCTGTATGTGGTGGTGGTATGTGAAGCGTAGCCACTTTATTTTCTGTGAAAAAAAAATAATTGTTTGTGTGTCACTGATATGAGGAGCTTCTTCAGCACCCTTGGGCTTACTTCAGAGACTCTGTTTAGGATTTAGTTTTTTTTTGTTGTTGCTCTTTTTTTTTAAAAGAAAATACTCAATACATTTCTATTCAAGAGTAAAGAATTACATTTTTTCTTTATTTAAATATTTATAAGTGACCTTTCTGCTTGCAGTGCTTGCAGTTTAAAAGTCTTTAAAAAAAGCCCTGAAAGATGTTAAAGTCTGTACTTATGACATTCAGACGGTGCAGAAAGCTTGAAAACACATCCTGTCATTTCTATAAAATTGTATAAACAGCTTTTCAAAAAGAAGTGTTTTGTTTAAAATGCTCTATCAGTACTATTTTTTTCCATTAAACTTATGTTAGTTGTACAGTTTGTCACATTTCCTTATCACAGGTTTCACCTCTTGTTCGACAGACAGCCGCCTCACTCATTTCAAAGTATCAAGAAGCACTTGCTCATGGTTGCAATTGTTAAAGCTGCCTGATTCCTAGACACACACCACCTGTTCTTTTACAATAAGATATTACAGTCCATATGCTTCTTTGTGTGTCGACCGTTTATAATTGCTCATTGTCATTACGCGTTTGATGCTTGAAGGCCCAGTAGTGCTGCTATGGATGTGCTTATCTAATGTGCCATTGCAATCCTTGTGCCACAAATAAAACGCGTCGCATTGCTTGAGTTTTCTGCCTAAAGCTAAGTGTTACTGTGAGTCAGCACTCCACAATGCATCATGTATTGATCCTCTCAGATAGTTTTCATCAGTGTCACAGTTCCTTTTTTGTTTTTTCCTCTGAAAGTGAATCTGTTTTTGGTTTTAAATAAAAATTCTTTGTTAGTATTCTGAACTTATTATTACTTATTTCTCTATTTTTTTTTTTTTTTACCCTCCTGTCATCCTTCTCTGCCATTTGCATGAAAAGGTCCCTCAGCCGTGCGTGAATACCCTAAACTTTCTAAGTTGTGCCCTCTGTGTTTTATAGTGGAGTATATATTGAACCTGAGGCTGTACATTTAAATTCGTTTCCACTTGTCTTACAAAACAAAGAAGCAGCCAATAAAAATGAACAACGACAGTGCTGAGATGCCAGCCAATTAGTACAGATGCAGTAATTTAAGCAGAATTTTCCACATGGCTGGACCGTCGAGGATCTGTGGAGGTTACGTAGGTCGAATTCAAGCAGTAGTCTATAAACTTGTTCAGTCGTGAAGAAGTGTCTGAAACTCAGTCCAGTCCCCTTCGGTGCCAAGACAGTGATGGATAGATAGAATGGTGTTGTTCGTGGAAAAAATGCAGGTCCAGCAGAAACACAGTTGAAATTTTCGAGAAAGCAGTGATCCCATGACAGCCTGTTGGAGTTTCGTAAGGAAAAAAAAAAAAAAAAATCTCCCAGCATGGGAATGGCAGTGACAGTTTATTATTTTTTAATCCTCGTCTATTTTTGGAAAATAAATTCTGTGTATTTTTCTGTATGCCCTTTCCATACCTGAATCAACTGGCTTACAGCATATTTTGACATGTTTCCCCCCCCTCATGCAATGTAACAAAATGTAAACAAGTCTTTAATATTCCCAAAAATATTCCTATGGTGGATTATTAAAAAAGGTATAAATAATTTTTGTCACGACAGGTTTTGATGAAATGTAAATAAAATTACTTAAGTACATATCTTTTTTCAAAACTCTTCTATGCCATTTGATTTATTACTTTATTTGAATAAAAATAATTTTAAATCTAAATTTCCAAATGGTTTGAAACCTTTTGGGATTAACTAATCAAATTAGCTGCAAACCGCAGTAATTCGTCAGCAGAAATTCACCTCATAATGCGTGTAACATGTCTCCAAAAGATTAAGCAAAGTGAACTGCTTTTATTTTTACACATATATTACATTAAGAGTTTCTATGTTTAAAATTAATGAATTGGCAATTAGCAATTAGTTGGATTTATTGTGGATTTAACTAATTTTGACAAGTAGAGCTCCTTACTATATCTAATTAATATTGATTTGCTAATTAGGTCATTTGACATGTTGTTTTTCTATGATAAATGCAGCTTTACATGTTTTCTAGCATATTCTTAGCATCAGTATGTCAAAAATACACACGCATTATTTTGGCCAATTCTCATTAACCTTAGAGATGTATCTAAGGAATGGATACACAACTTATCACAATCCTTGAAACTGAAGAATTAACCGCAGGCTCTTTGTAATGTTGGAGCTGAATTTGAACTGCCATAGTTGAAACAGGTGGTGAGTAAAAGCTTCTTGTCTTCGATGGGCTGAAGGACAAACTACATTTGTATCCCAAGACATTGTCGCAAACTGAATTCAGCACAGAAATTTTCTCGAATTAAACGTTTCACAGCCTTAAAATACTGCACACTATAATTCTGTATATTTATTTTATTTTTATTTTTTTACTACAAAGATGCTGTTTAACCTTTTCATTTTCTGCTCAAACATCATTGTGTCAGTTGAACTCCAAGTTGTTCCTTGGCTTCTGAAACAATTCGTGCCGATGGTCGTTTTCAGTCAGTTTCCATGACATTTCTGGAAAGGGAAGGGGAGTTAACATTGGATGTAACAATGCAGTCATGCAGTAGTACCTAACCTTTACAGTAGGGAAGCAGACTCCAGTGATACAGATACTTTAAGGCAAGATGTGGCTGTTTGGAAATGTTAACGTCACCAGCTGGAAATAACAAACTCGTGTGCCAACTATAAAGCACTAAAGTGCTTAGAGGACGATTCCGCTGAAGTTGTTGTTGGTGCTTTTTGTTAACTCTCAACCGATGCAGAATCATAAATGTAATCATTTTTTTTTGTTTTTTTAGTCATAACATGACTGCTTCATGTTGGCTTGGCAATGGTTTTATGTACAATTCGCAAGAAGTGTTTCGTCTTCTAAACTTTTCCATAATTTACTATCTTGCAACCACAAATTTCACTGGATGATATTAGCATTTGATGTGACAGGTCAATGCAGAATAGCGCATATTTGTGCAAAGGCAAATATGAAATTATACATAAACTTTTCCCTCTCTACTCCAAAACCCCAAAATAAAATCCAGTCCCCCATATGTGCTTTAAAAGTCACAGTTTTATACTAAGGAGTTGGTATAAACCAGTGGAATGGTTGTGTAAAAACCTAAATCCAATTGAGAAACTTTGGCAAGATTTCCAGAAGGAGCAAAATGTTCAGTTTCTATGTTTCCAAACTTACAAAATAACTCATAAGAATTGAAGCTGTAATAAAAGCAAATTGTGGTTCTAAAAAGTAAAAAGTATGGAATATGAGAGGGACTGAAGAAAAATGCAGCTTCATACTTGCACAATTTTTATTTATTAAAGATCTTGAAAGCCATATTTAATTTTTCAGTTATCCATTACTTTGTGTTGACCTGTCTAATAAAACCCAATGAAATTTGCTTTTGCTTGGCATTGAAATGTAAAAAGTCCAAGGGATGTGAATACTTTTCCAAAACACTCTAAATTTTAAGGGGTGTTTTTACTTATTTATTTATACCAGCATTCACACATCATTTCTTCCCCTCAGATGGAAGAAAACCATGCAGAGACGGAAAAAAAAAAATGCGAGTGTCCTGCGGCGCCAAACAAACTCTTTTGGAAAACAAACAAATAAAATAGCTAGGCTCCAAAGTTTGAGCTAATATGTAATAACTACGTCCACAGCCTCCTTTTAAAACACACATCTATTCTGTAACGGCGTGCACCACCCAAGGCGGCATTCAGCAAGTTCCATTTTGTGTGTCCAGCAGCAGTTTCTCCATTAGACCTGATGTAATGTCCTCTCCATAATGGACCTGAAGAAAGGCTGCGTTGGAACACGCTCGTTTATGAACACAGGCCAAGCCGGGACAAAATGTCCCGATGATTTTTCATAGTATGCCAAGAGTTTTTGCTCTTTGTTTAGCCTTGTTTGTGTCCCTTTCTGTTTGCCTCTTGACCTCTGAGTCTCTGTTTCCTTCCTCTGGCTGTTTTCTAAACTCATGCAGATCTTCATCGGGGAAGTGTCCATGTACGTGATGAAATCAACAAGGGAAGCTCTCCTTGCCCAGGAGAAAACGATAGTGACAGGAGACTGTTGTTACCTCAACCCGCTCATTCGCCGCATCATACGCTTTATAGGTAAGAGCATCGGCACGTCTCGCTGTCCGAGTTCATATGTGTCGAGGGCTAGCGGACGGCTTCTGCACTTGTTCTTGTTCAGCGAACATTACTCGTACAAATACATTCAGTTTGGAAGTAAAACATTGTAATTAAGATGCATCAGATTTGGAAAAAGGTACAATTATGAGCAGTTTCTTGCAAAACCCTTAACCTTGCCTTAAAAGTGTTCAGCTTTTAAAGGGAATAATTCATTTACCTGAAACGAGTGCCAGGTTATAATGATGGAAGTAATTATGGATAAAAAACTGATTTACCTCAAGGCTACTGGCTTTATTCTCTTATTTCATTTTTACTCGAATACTTCTATTAAAAAATAAAATAAATTACACATAGCAAAACCTCACCTAACCAAGGTATAAGATCTGCCCATGTAACATACATGCTCAACATACTTTGCAGTTCTTTTCCATGAATTGACTGGATCAATGTGGCGTTGAACGGAGGTGATCAGTTGTTGAGTTTAGAGTCCACGCCTCGTTAATCTCCCCCAGCAATTATCTTAGCTAAAGTTATCCCTGTTACTTGTGCAACTTTTTCTACCGCAGTTTTTCCTCCCACATAACTTTCCATTGATATGTTTGGATGCCGCACTCTGTCTATTGGACAACTTGCAACATCAGCACTCTCTCTCCCATGATTTGGTAACAGTGTTTTTGTATGAAAAAAAAATAAAATAAATTTTTTTAGGGTATTGGGTTTGTGTAATATTCAATTTACAAAAAAATTTTAAAAGAATTTGGGATATTTTTTTCACAATAATACAAATAAAAACCTGAAGCATCTTTTTGGATGAGTTTCAATTCCAAATCAAATTACCTAATTAAAATGCTTTCCAGTTATATTTTCATTAATATACTTCTCCATATACGTATCTGCAGAAAAGTAAATACTAGTTCAAATATTGTCAGTATTTTTAAAAAAAAGCTAATTATGAGAAATACTCGTTATTATTATCTAAATAGTTGCGGCTAACGTGTACACAACTATCTAGCCTTGAACTGCTTTTTGCATCTTTAATGGTAATTAGTTTCAATAAATTAATCTCTCTCCACTGTTCCATTTTCTGTATTTCAGCTCCAAGATTTAGCAAAACTCTGCCAAGTGACTGGGGATCTTTTGGATTTTCCTTGTGCTTTTCAAACCATATTTCTCGCCCTTTAAATAACACCCCTTCAATTAGCTAACCAGTCCTGAAACACTCTCCAGACAGGTCACTTAAATTATACTTCCATCTTTTTTTATTGAGAAATTTCTCCGATTTAAAGGCTCACTGAGGCTTTTCGGCTCCTATTCTCCACCCCTCCCATGTGTTCCCCTCTCGCGCTAATCCCCCCTTCTCTGTTTCCCCCGATGCCCTTCACACAGTCCCCCGTTCGTTCGCCTCGCAGACACCCCCTTCACACACTCATACACATGCGCTGAGCAACCACCCTACACCCAAAGCCTGGATGACAATACAAAGGACAGTAATTTCATGGCTAAGCAGGCTAGATAATCAGCAGCCATATTTCACAGCAAACGGAAAGCAGACACAGACACTGGTCAGGGTTGGTGGGCTGAAAGTGTCGGTGCAATCATTCATATTAAATCCTGATTTTTTTTTTCCCCCCTTCTGTCTCTGTTTTCTTCTCTACTCCATTCTCACTTTTTTTTTTTTTTTATGATGCATTTGTAAATGCTGATGGCTAGATTAAAATAAATGCCCCGTCTCTGTTTGATCACCTCCATATTGCACCTGTTAACCAGCAGAATGAGTATTTGCATTCACTGGTCCGCTTCAGTGTTTCTTCATTCAGGAAACACTGCGGCGTATTCAGTGGAGCGATTTACCCACATAATCCAAGTTCTCAATGAAAAAACTCTCCGCTGATACGTAGTCGCACCGATTTTTAAGAGAAGTAAGCCTGTGCATACAATCTTAGTTGAGCTTAATCTCTGTGCATTCTGAGGCGTCCTTGCCAAATAGATTAGTGTGAGTGGAGAGTGTGTGTTAGCAAAGAAAAAAAAATCCCGTCTCGCTGAGGTTATACAGTCTGCAAAATTACAGAATTGAATTAAACTTCTTCCACACAGAAAAGACATTAAAATTGTTAAAACTATATGAAAAGTTTAATATTTACAGACTTCACTATTACCTAAAAGTTCTGTTTGTTCCTACGGTTGTAGAAGCATCTGCGACTAAATTCAGTGCAAATTTTTGGCTAAAAAATTGTCAAATTTAGGTGTAGAAAAGCGTGAAATGTAAATGTAAAAAATGCTAATAATAATGTTTTTCAGAACCTGATGTGCATTTGGAAGCTCATCTGGTGGCTCTGCGGTTTGGACGATTAGAGCCCAAATTAACTCGAAACAAAACTGATGTAAATTGTTTCATTTTGTTTTTAGTCCTGTGAGTTTTTACGCGCTCGTATCTGCTCCCGTCTCCCAGGTGTGTTTGCATTCGGCCTGTTCGCCACAGACATCTTCGTCAATGCGGGCCAGGTAGTGACCGGCGGCCTCTCGCCCTACTTCCTGTCCGTCTGCAAGCCCAATTACACCGGCACAGAGTGTCGGTTCAATCACCAGTTTATCGTCAACGGAAACATTTGCACTGGGAATCCCGTTGTTGTGGAGAACGCACGCCGGTCGTTCCCATCCAAGGACGCTTCATTGAGTGTTTACTCTGCTGTGTACCTGACGGTAAGTAGGATGCGTCTGACCCTGTGGTTTTTACTCTGGGGGATCTTTTGAGTCAGCGGCAGCTGCGCCTCAGCTCATGCTTATTTCACCTGTATTTAATCCAAACATTTTTAGTTTTTTTTGTTGTTGAAAACTAAAGTGGACATCTTTTCTGCTACGTGTTTAATTTGTGTGCGTTGAACAAGCCTACAGAGATACAAGGAGTTTTTCCTCAGTATAATATATATATATATATATATATATATATATATATATATATATATATATATATATATATATATATATATTTTAATAGAAAACATTGGATAGTGCTTGCTTAGTAGGTGGTTTGGCATAGCTAAGTACGAGAGACCAACAGAAAAGACCTTGATTATAGAGAAAAAAAAGCCAAAAGGTTCACAGTGACAAAACACAGCAGCAAACTTTACTATAAGTATGTCATACTGCACCCTACAGACTAACTTTACAATAAAGATGTAAAAATGTAAAAGACTATAAAAATATTTTAAATATAAAAAATGGCAACAGCTACTTTACCAGATTAAGTATAAACTGAAATCAACCTCAAAACTGTTATTCATAATAATAATTGAAACTTGTGTATAATTTTTTGAACTATAGAAGAGACGTTTTCTAACTTCATGGTCAAAGGTCCAAATCTAATTGCAGTTGAGGTCAAAAGTCCAGAACTACCAGCAACGAGCAAATCTCCGTCATTAAATTGGTTTAGTAGCATGAAATGAGTTGGATGCTCAACGCGAATGGTTTGTGAATCTAAGCCAGTCTAATTTTCACCAACACAGCAAGATGAGCCCTCCAGGTTTAGTCATCATAATTGTTAATGACTGCAGTTAATATCAGCATGCTGGTTTCAGGTCTCTGCAACAGAACAAAATCAATCACAATTTTCTTTATTTTTTTATTTTGCAGCTGTAATGTAAACACACTTCTTTCATAAACTGCCTTTTTTTTTGCCATTTGTCTGGTCTTAAAGTTTTCAGTACATCGGTACTGGAAACTTTAACTTGGAAACAAATGCTCAGCTATTCTCTGTGAAGACAAACACACTGCCATCAACATGAAGTAAAATCACAGACTTGCTAAGGAGCATACGGTTGGCATTTCTCCATGTGGATGTATGCACGGATAAAAAGACTGATTCTCAGCATGGCACTGTACAAAGCAAACATTGGCTGAACCTCAGATTTGTACTAGTTTGAGGCACATTTCTGATGTTTTAAATCAAAGCTTCCTAATTAATATTTAAATGTAACAAACAGTAAATCATCACCAGCACAACTCATTAAAAAGCAATAAGTTCATGTAATTAGTTTGCATCTTATTGGATGTAATTTAAAAAAACATCTGAGCCTGGTTTCATTAAGCTTAATGCACATTTTGGTATGAGTTGGTTGAAAGGAATTCTAAATCAAGAGCTGAACTTTAAGTCATCTTTGCATGATGTACATATTTCATAGAGGAATTAACTTGCCGTCAGGCGGTTTTACCCCAAGAAAGAGTCATTCGGATCTCCGGTTTCTAAACCAGATAAAAACTTATTGTGTTGCAGGCAATCACCACTCTGATTCAGAAAACTTCACACACACAATTTTTGCAAGAAACACGTAAAGTATTTGAGAATCTCAAGCGCTCCACACCAAAGCAATATGAACATGACTGGTAAAAAGGGCCAGCATGATGTGGAAAACAACGGTTTAGTTTTAGACACAGAATTAATGCTTTCAATGCGCAACAAGTGCATTCTAGCATAATGCGTCTCCTCATTTGGTATAGGCCTATTAGTCATTGTTTGAATAAAAAACTTTTGAAATATTTTTGCTTTGAAATGAGTTTACTTCTAAAACATCGTTTTGCTTTTCTGAGACAAGATCATCGACTCCTTTGTGCCGTTGATTCATTCACTGAAAACTACCTTTTTAGTCCAGTCTTGTAATCTTACTCTCAGTTTAACAAAAGCTCTATGTTTTGAAACAGTTTAATTCATCTGATGCAACATCTTCCCTTCACAGCTTTGTTTTGTCTGTCTTGAATTGGTAAAATGTTTGACGGCCCTGCTGTGGGAACGTCTTTCTAACTCTATACGACCGCCTCGGCAGAGGAGCACTGGCTTTCAGCGTTCATTTGGAACAAAGACAAGTTCACAGTCTGTGAATCCTCTCCCTCGCTCCAAAATGTATTTCTCCCTCCTCTTCGTCTCCAGATGTACATCACCAGCACAATCAAGACCAAGTCCAGCCGTCTGGCCAAACCTGTGCTCTGTCTGGGCACGCTCTGTTCGGCTTTCCTCGCCGGCCTCAACCGAGTGTCCGAGTATCGAAACCACTGCTCTGATGTCGTGGCCGGATTTATTCTGGGATCAGCCATCGCACTGTTTCTGGTAAGGGCTAAAAAGAAAACATCAGCTGCAGGTAATTCCAAATGTTTTTACAACCCAAACGCATTTTTGCAGAAAAATGATAGACTAACTTACTTCAGCATGAGTGTGAAGTAGGGAGGAAAACGTGCTTGTTTTTGAAATGTTTTAAAAATAAAAATTTGAAAGACATATCCTGCCATTGCCATTACAGCAAAACATATTTTTCAACTATGACTTTCAGCTTGCAGATCTAGAAACGGAAATTTTGTCTGTTCTTCTGTGGAAAATATTCCAAATGCAGTCAGATTGGATCGTCGGCTAACCTTCCCCCTCAGGGTCAAATCTTTTTTATTTTGTATTATTTAAAAGGTTTTCCCCATTAATGCTTTAAATTTGACTGCACTTAACTTCTTACCAACTCTGACCAGCTTCCCTGGTATCGTAGCCTCACAAAGTCACAAAAATAATTATTATTTGGTGACTACAAATGATGCAATGTACAACTTTTTAGTTTTAAATAGTTGTGAAAACCAGGTAACATCCCCCCCTCCCCCCCCCACTTTATAAGTATGTTTTGCTTGGCGTATCAAAAAAAGTTTCAGTAGTTGTATCACTGCCAAAATGAGGTAAAATCTTGTGGTATTTGTAGCTTAATCAGTTATCGGGGAAAAAAACCCCGATTATTTTCAGAGCTGGATTCTGGCCACATTTTTATTTTATTTTTTTAAAGCATATGTTATGATCAGAGTTTGGAACGCACACTGGCTGCAGTCGAAGTGCTGAATTCAGGCTTAATCTCACTTGATGATTAGTCATAGGCTGCTTCTTTTAGCACTACAAATCCATTAATTCTGGGAATTTGTCACCACTTTCTTTCCACTGCAGCTTGTTTAGCCATTTTTTATTGATTTCAGGGACACGAGAAATAAAAGATGATTTATCACGCGGGTCAGCTTCAAACCTGTGCTCCGAGAGGGTTCAGACAGAGCTAAGGCTGGACAGAAGGTTCTTGCTAAGGATCCATTAGTTGATTGAAAGAGTAGAAGAAAGAAGAGAAAGTCCTGATGTTGCACCTGCGGTTTCCACTGAGATCAGCAGTTGCTCTTATTTCTAAAGAGCATGCTGGGAAAGAAATTCAGGACAAGGGAAGGGAGGAAAGTTGAGGTAGATATCAGCTTTAATTCACGGCTGTGTTTAAAATGTAAAATCCAAACTAATCACCAGCGATGTGCTGTCAAGCAGCTTAGCTTCCACCTGAAATCATATTATTGACCTACTGCAGGTTTTCTGCTTAAAGTTTAAATTGCTTGGGAGTTATTACTTCTGAAACCTACAAGATTTTTTTTTTTTTTGGGAGGTAGGGGGCAGTTGAGGTAGACAACTCCCTAAAGAGGAAGCAAGGTAAACGGATCCGGCAACAGCCTCAGAAGCCTCACTACTTGTAGGTTCCGCTTGGCCCTGAGGGGGTCAGAGCAGGAAGAAGTGTGAGAAGCAGGCAAGGACACGGAGGAAGACTCTGAAGAGGAAAGGCGGGATTAATTTAGGTGCTCTGCTTGGCCTGGTTGGTAATTTAGCTGAATTTACAGCCCCTGTGCCACGAGTTCAGAGAGAAACTATAGACGGTGTAATTGTACTGCTGCTCAGCACCTTTCAATCTGTTTTTGTCCTGGGAGTTTCAGTGCTGAAGGTACTAATTTACTCTGACTTTAAAGAACAACTCCGGTTCGCAGGGACGTCGAAGAGAGGAAAACCACAACAACGCATTCAAAGCAATCTCTCTCAGCATTACAGACTGCAGCTGTGGCAATGAATGTGTTGAAAGTGAAGTTCAGGCACCTCAGAAACGTTCCAGAGAAATTGTCATTTGTTTTTCATGAATAATCATGTCATAGCTTTTGCTTTTTAGCTGCGAAAATCCTGTTGGCTTGGAAAATTCTGACTCGAAATGAAAGAAAATAAAAGTTGAAGCTACTTTCCAGCCAACTTTTTACAATAAAACACTGTTTAAGTAAGAACTGTTGAAGTTAATTGTGAAACTTTTAACAAATAACTGGATAATTTTGTCCTTCCCTGGTTATTAGTATTATTATCTTTTGTATTACAATGTGTTTTTGTTCCAATACTGTAACTTGTTTAGAATTACCAGAATGTTCACACGGGTTCAACTTTCCTGTTTTTATCATATGTACATACATTCATAGTATTTATTTCTAATAAATATGTCTAGATTGTTGCAGTTTGTGAAGAAAAAAAATCCAGAATATATTGCACATTAATTGCACACTTCAACTGTTCTTCCACTCTCTTAAAAGCTATTTACCAGCATGTTTAATATATTCATTAAAAATATATAATCTGCTTGTATTTTCCTGACTTTTAAAATATATTTTTTTCTTATGAACAATGTGAGTTAAAATAGTTTTATTTTATTTTATTTTTTCAGAAACGATAATGTTGATGCCGACTTTACCCAATATAGACATAACACTCTTGAAAACTTACGCAAATTAAATTTAGATAAGAGTCTAAATCATCTACCTTTTTAACAGTTTTTTTTCTTTCTTTTTTTAAGTATTAAAACGTGCAATGATTTGAAAAATGTTTTTCTATATCCTAAAGGCCAATACGCTATCAGAGCTACAATGTTATAAGCCATTTCACTGCATGCAGACCCTATAATGCTCTTTGCTCCACTTTGAAATCCAAAAGCAGATATTGGCTCACTGCCATGTTCATGACATTTTAAGTGATTTGTATCCAAGTCTTTTCTAAACCTCAACTCCTGATGCTTGTTGTTGTTCTACCTTCTACCATCTGCGATTTTCATGTCAGCAGCGACCCCAGTGAGACATTTGGCCGAAATGTGGTTGCCTTTTTTTTATTATTATTACTTCTGCTTCTTTTCATGCACACAGCTCGCTCGCTGTGTTACAGAGATTGTGTCATTTTGTTGAGTTACTTGTGTGTTTGTGTCATGTGATCTGCTCTGTGCCGTGCTCAGTCCAAGAAGAACTGAGCAGAGAGCAGAGGATATTTCCAGCCAGTGCATTTTATGACGTTTCAAGGTTTAGTGCTGAGATTATGAAGCCGACGGCAAATTTTCTTCTGAACAGAAAGGGAATAATGCTGGTGTTTGCTATTGAGTGAGTTAATACCGATGAAATGTAGTGAGTTTTAAGTGTGCAGCAGGGGAAAATAAGTAGCAGGTATCAAAAACAAATTACTCCATAAACAATGTAGTATGAAGTGTCATAAAAAAAAAAATGGCACATAGAGTAATGAACACGCATATGCAAATTCAATACTTAATAAAAAATAATATTTTTAGTCAGTGAAAGGTTCAAGACGAGCATTCACATGCTTTGCTTAGGTGGGATTTTAACGTCCTTCCACACGAACTATATTCAAATCTTGAATTTTTTTGGGTTCTCTTTTGGAAAATTTGTATAAATAGATTTGCATCAAAGATGTCTAAATATATGTCTATGTATTGTTTCTTCAGCATATTGAGTTCCATCACCTAACTTTGCTGTTGATTTGGTAATTTGGCTGTGATGTGCAGAACTGTCTTGCTCTAAACATGACATGTTCAAAAGAAAAAGGATACATTTTGGTCCAGGATATCCTGCAAACTTAAAAATACTTCTTTTTTTTCAGCTCTAGAGCTTTTTCTTACATGGTGAATGGAGGCTGTTGTGATTGACTGGATTAACTGGCTTTCATTGAAAAGCTGCACCTGCTGATTCCAGAGCATTATCTGCTGATTTGTATTTACTTTTCTGTAAAGTCGTGATAATGTTGTGGTGAAATAATCTTCTTTCCATTTCTGGATCATTGCTCCAACGTTGCTCACTGGAACATTTAAAAGTTTAGAAATATATCTGCAGGCAGTTTTATTTGTGATCTGCAGGCAGTTTTATTTGTGTGTTTATTCAAATATAAGCCAGTGATGCTCTTAAGAGGGCGTTTTACTTTTCATGACGTATCAAATGCCTTTTCTTGAACAACTCAAATCGGTATCAGGAATAAATTTTCTGATCGAGACATTCCCAGTTTTTCTTCATTTGTGGAACATTTCCAATGTCTCTTGTCCTTGGGACAAAAGGAGAAGGAGCAACCGCGGAACATGTATACCTTTAAGCAGCTGACCTATAAAAACTGACATACATTGATTCAGGGATCTCCAGGGAAAGATTAACGCAAGAAAGTCAGTCATTGCCTCAGCGGTTTTTAGATGGCTCATTTCCATTGTATTAACGGCACAACATGAACTGGGGAGGGCTGTGTCTTTGCTACAACGAGGGAATAATAGCCTGAATGAAGCTTATGAAGATCCTGCCATGTGAACACTATGGCAGTTTGATGGATTTGCAAATCTTATGCGATTTAATCCATAAAGACAGAGTAGAAGCCTGGTGTGTATTTAATCACTTGGCTGTCATTTTTCCAAATAGAAGACGTCTGAATCGACTCTGCAGCTGGAAAATATCTTCAGTCTTATCCGTTTAAGTGGCAAATTTGACACGTGGACTTTTGTCTTTGTCTTACATCATGCTGATCTGATGGCTTGTAATAACGCCTCAAAGCAAACCGATTTTCTGGGACGAAATTGAATCTTTAGGCGAACCTTAAAATGCAAGTTCAGATTTCACCTTGTACCTGGAACAAAAAGTGACAGCTTGGCTGGGGCCGCCTTGCATCAGCGGCAGGGCACAAAATGAAGCGAAGCAGTCTCCTGTGGTCATGGGGGAGATGTGCATCAATTGGATGAAAATTAGAATGCTGGAGTCATGCAGAAATGTATTTAAAGCGGCTGCATCAGCTTACAGTTTAGAGTTACTCTGACAGGTATTGATGTCGGGAATTCATTGTGATGCCGGGGAGCTATTTGCAGATTCTGGCCCAGCTGCTCTCGCCTCTTGGTCTCGGGGAACACTAGAGACCCGTCGCCCATGAACCGAACCGCTGCAAACATAAGATCCTCGAGAAACCTCCAGCAGTGAGTCGGCCTGCTTCATTTTCTTCTTTGCCGCTGCCTGAGGGCACGGTTGGTGTCTGGTGGGGTGGAATCTCCTTCAGGCAGCCATGTTTGATTAACTAGGGGATGGAGGAGTTCAGAAGTCCTGCAACCTTGCTGGCATGTGGGCTGTTAAACGGACCCGACTACTGGTAAAATAAAAGTGCAGCTTGAAAGAAACTGTACACAGCCGCGTAGCTGCTTTCGGAAATATCCGGGTACCAAGAAAATAAAGAGAAAATCCTCCACACTTGAGCGTGAGGTTGTTAATACTTTAAATAAATTAGGGGGAAAAAAACAACAGGATTATCCACAGTAAGAAAGAGTATTGTACTTATTATGGTGATAAATGTTAGTGGGGAGCACCATGAGCGCCTTTTAGGGCTGCAGCTGAAGCATCTATTGGTATCAAAGTCTCAGCATTAACAGAGACTGATTAAAATTTTAAAAATAGAGATGATGTGCCACGCTGACTTTTAAAGACTCCCTTAATGTTTGATTGATTTTTACGCCCATATCAACTTTATACCACAGCAGTAACTGTGCTGAAGCAGAACATATGGCCACATCTTTCCAGAGAATCTCTTGGATGCTGCTTTTCATTTTCCGCGGAGCGTCATGCTTCAAATATATTGCCGGGTTTTTATGTGAAGAATAAAATGTCAACTTTTTTATCATTACCAGATGGATGTGGAGGGTGATCCACAGCTCAAACCAAGCAGGGTTTATGGGCAGTGTTATGCTGGTTAAGTTCAACCTCATAATGTGAAAGTGCTGATGCTTATTCAAAACCCTCTTCTGACCTGTGTTTTCACTTTGACTTTAGCAAAAGTACGGCAGCTCCAAGATGGAGATTTTCTTGTATGTTTGGCATTTAGAAAGTTTCCACTTTTAACTATGGAAGGAAAGCTTCCGTCAGGTAAGTCTAGAGTGGAAAAAAAACTCAACTGCTAAACTGATTCCCAGGAAATCTTTTGCAGACATCAACAAGTCGTCAGAAGGGTAAATTGATATCATTTTGGAGTGCACCCGACCTTTCCTTGAGTGCCGTTCCGAGTTTGACATTTATGTTGTTTAGCAGTTAGTCATTTAGCAGCTGTTGTGTGGATTCATGTGAAATGTTGTGCAAAATAACACATGCATATTGATATTTGTAAAGTACCTAATTGATAAATGAAAACCATAGATGCGGTTAGAACTAGAGGAAACTTGAACTTCACATTGGATTCACAAGAACGAGATCAGACGAGATCTCAGTAATACTTAAAGAAGAAAAAAAATGTTCTGCTTGCTATAATTAATGGTTTATTTTGGTTACATGTCACAGAATTGCGATGAAATTCTTTAATCAGGACGTCAACGCGATACTTGGTAGAAAAGCTTTGATCTGATACCGTCAATGGCCCTGTTGCTTCCTGTCGCAAACGACCTAACAAGATGTCTTCACTCTGCGGCTGAATAGCTACGACAAATTGTTTTTGCCTTGAGTTCAATGAAAGACTGGGTTTGATTTTGTTTTTTTTGTTTTTTGTTGTTGTTGTAGCAGATGTCACAAACCTGTCTTACTGATTAGCTCTTTCTGCATTTGTATTTTTGCAGGGCATCTGTGTTGTGAACAACTTTAAAGGAGTTCATAATCCAGCAACCAAACAGAAGACGGAGGAATACCGTGGATTGCCATTGATGACTTTTCCCCGTGTAGAGAGCCCACTGGAGACCCTCAGCGCGCAGGTAGCTCAAAACCCTTAGCCTGTGATCCCCACAACTCTAATCTAATCTTTTTTTTTAAAATTATTATTATTATTATTGCTGGACAAAGCTCCCAAAAGAATTGAACATCAAACTCAAATATTCTCTTTAAAACCTCATCATTTGGTGCTTGAAACTTGTTGTAATATGCTGTTGGTTCATTATCTACTTTTTACTGACGTCTTTGCCTGCAACTTTAATCTTAAGTCATAAATTCATTCTTTTTCTTGCCTACTTTCTTTTCCTTCTGTCGACACAAAGCTATGACATCATGTTAGGCATGATATTTGCACTGCACTCCTTTCCATCGAAGCACTCCACGCACCGGGTGACAATAACTGTCCTTTGTTTTCATCTTCACACCTTTTCCCCCCGCTTCTGTTTTCCGCCCTCGTATTTCCTTTCTGTTCCTCCCTCCGTTTTCTACTCCTCCTCAAACGTGCATTTTTCCAGAACCACTCGGCATCGATGACGGAGGTCACATGACTAAGGGGGCAGCACCGGGTCACGTTTGCGTCTCCACAGCACTTCCAGGCACAATGACGAGGACGCATGCCACGTGGCGCCGAATGCATACAACAACAACAACAACAACAACAACAAAAAAAGAAATCACTCCAGATTTATCTGTTTGAATCACCCGGAGGACAGGATACTCCATGTTTGTAGTGGTTTTCATTTCGCTTGGCTTCTCGCTACTCGGCCAGCCAAGACCCACAAATCTAACCGGTGCGAACTTGTCAGAAAGCCAACTCACTGTCAGCACGGGTTGTTTTTTTTCTCCAGGTACCTGAAAGCCTTCGAAACATGGCGCGTTTCTTTTGTCCTCCAGGGTGGCTCTTTGTAGTTAGCGAATGGTGTTTTTGTACGTTTTTGTATGAGCGAGTGCCGTAGCCTATCCTGACAATGTCAAACCTGCACACTTCCTGTCAGCTAACTCACTGTGTTACATCACACCCTGTCAGATGAAATGCCTCATCGGTCACCACATCCATTCCACTCAGTCTTAAAACTCTGCTATGGGGGGAGGGGGGGCGATATTGATGTTGTTGTTATGTGGTGTTTGTCATTTGTACAGAAAAAAAGAGAGACAGAAATGTTCTTTTTATTATCTCTGTGCATTAATTGACCATTATAAGGTCATATTTTTTAAGGATTTTTGTTAGTCTGTATGACTATTATGATCCATTTGGACCTGTTTGCCTGCTGTAAACCTGAATATGTTTTAGTATCAGTTTAGGTGTTTGGGGGAACAAGTCTTGTCATTTTTGGAGGAAACATGAGGAGGGGTCACTGGCGTCCTCTGGGACTCGCTACGGGGTCTGGCATCAGTTGAGATCAGATGCAATATTTGAAAATGCCATTACTCAGAAAGCTCGCCAGGAGTGTCATTCACCCCAATTTCCTGATTCACTCTGATGTTGAAAACAATGCCTTGAAAGCAGCCCATTGGGTCTCGCATGTGTCAGATCCATGTACAGATTTCCCCTTCTGTGCTCGTTAGAAATACGTCTTTGCTGAAATTTTAATGGAGGACGTTTCTAACAGATAGATGGGGTAACGAAGCCGGACAGGTTTGAGTAAAATGAGGCGTTTGGTGTTTTTCAAGCGAACCCGGCCGTTGACGCCCGCTTCACTTTTCCTCCTCGAGGCACCCCTTCCTCTCCCTCACCCACCAGTGGATTGTGATGCAATGTTGTGAATCCATTTCCTATTGGAAGATAAGCCCAGCATGAAGAGAGAAGTCGATAATGTTTTATAGATATTACTCATTATCATTGTGATTATATGTCTTTTTCTTTAAGAACAAAAAAATAAGCATTTCATCTGAAATGCTATATATATTTTTTTCTTTGTTTGTCCAAAAATTAAATAGTCAGTAGCAACTGTGCGCTCTCTTGTGATTATTTTTTTCATTTTTGTGCCCTTGTGTGCATGCTAACTTTCTTTTATCATGTAAAGTATTGCTGGGAAGATTGCTGTCCCAGTTGACTGAGATTGCAACTTACCTTGATGGTGTTCAAGGTAAATTTCTTTCCTTTAGTTTATTTGAATCCCAGCGGATTGTTTGTTTACTTTTCCAGCATAGAAAACCTCCCGGAAAAAAAAAATCCCATGTGCCCTATTTTAGTTAAAAATATGAAGTATAAAGCTATAACTAAATTTTGATCTGTATGATCATCTTGATTTTAGAGATAATACTAATTACGCAGTTAGTATGAAGTAGCATAAAATGCTAAAAGGGTTCCGTTTCACTAATTTCTCATCGTTTTTCAATTAGCACCATTGTTTGCATTTTGCCAGGTCCACTTCCTCACAAAAGTGCTCATACCATTTGAACCTTTCCACATTTTGTCACGTTACAAATAAAAATCTAAATTTTATATGCCATTTCAAGACATCCCAAATTGAAAAATACGAATTAATAGTAATAATATATTTGAAAATTCTGTTTTTGAAAAAGGCAGGTCTGCATTTGTATTTTAAAACTTCAGAATATTGCCATCACACCTACTAGAAATATTTTGCCTCTGACCAAAATACTAAAGGTGTTGAAACAATCACAATGCTCTGTGAAATTGTGAAAAAGTACCGTCTGAAACAAGAATATTGACATTTTTGTTTGTCAGGGAGAATAATGAACATCCAAGTTAGTTTCTTCCAGACACCTGCACCTATTTTAATACCCTGTCCAGCAACTGTTGGTCCACACCCTTGCAAAAGTGCACGTTGCCCAGACAAGTGATTAGGATGCACACTGATATGCTCAAACTAGGTTTCTTATTGAGTTCTTCAGCAGATTCATCCTGTTATTACCGCATCGACTTCAGGGATGTTTATGTCACCGCCTAGCAAGAAATACACACACAAAGGCACAAAGAAAGCTGACGGCTCAGCGAGTGCACTTTCGCTTTTGCTCCGTCAGGTATTCATTTCAGCTGTGACAGCCTGCGCTTACCCTGCAGACACACTGGCTAAATAGATAGGAGCTCTTTCCGTTTGTGTGTGTGCTTGCGTGTACACACAGCAGTTTTTGACCATACGATGATCTGAGAAAATTTAATTGTCGGCGCTTGGGAATATGCCTACTTGTCCAAACTAACATCCCCTTGCAGTGTGAGTGGAGAAGAGTGTTCAAGCCAAACGCTGTTTTAGGGATGGAAGCAAAGTTTGGAGTGGTGATTTCAGACAATCTCCATAATTTGCGTATGAAGTGTGAATTGAAGTTAAATTATGTTCATAGCTCTGATTTTTCTTTTAGAATAAAATACCTAGATCTCTAGTTCTTTCCTTTAGCTTACAAAAAGACCTGGACTTTTTGATAGACAGGAAAAAAAAATCCACCCATGCATTGTCTTCAGCTTATCTACGATCAGTTTTCAGGGGTGACAGACCAAGAGAAACCCAGACATTTCTTTAGCCGGAGCTACTCTTCAGCATAATACGGGGGACCCCCAAGGCATTCCTAAGCCAGAAGGGATATACTTGCACAGTTCCTCACAAGTTGTGGGTCTGCTCCAGGCTCCTGTGAGCAGACCCACAGGAGCCTGGGAAAGCAGCAAAGCGAAGTGCTCAAAAGTAATCCTGATTTGATGTTCAAACTGCAGCTCATTTTGGAAAACCAGTGATTCCACTCAAATATTCCCTGGGATGGTATTATTCTTCACATCATCTTAGTCCCGTCATCCTATGGACCATAGTTAAGGATTGAAAGTTGTTTGCTTTATTGCAAATGAGGCCACTATCTATTTCTCACTTAGTCTTGCTATCACACACTAACACTAAGATACTTAAAGTTCTATGCTTGGGGCAAAGAATTGACCCCTGACCTGAAGGCAGAAGTCCAGCCTGTTCTGGTTGAGAAACATGGACGAGGAGGTGATTTTCATCCAAGTCACTTCAAACTTAAACAAAAAAAAAATATATATATTAAAATAAAAACAATTTGTGCAAAGAAGAGAGATGCATTTTTAATAATGGATCATGTCCAACCCATAACAAAGAAAAGTGCATGAACTTAATCACTTGGCAACTGCTCTGCTGTGTTTGGTTGTAAATGTTCTTTGCATTAAGTAACATGTCAAAGCCAGAACAGTGGTTAACAATTAAAGAGAATATTTCATTTAGTGATTGGTTGGCACCAAGATTTGAGTAGTAATCTGTGTTTTTATGGCAGTGTTTCTCAATTCCAGTCCTCACGCTGCCCTGCATGTTTTAGGTGTTTCCCTTCTGCCACACACCTGGATTCAATATTTTGGTGATTAACAGGCCTCTGCAGCACTTGATGGTCATGCAATCATTTGAATCAGCTGTTCTGGAGTAGAGGCACATCTAAAACATGCAGAGCAGGGGGGCCTGAGGAATGGAATTGAGAAGCAATGTTTTATGGCAACGGTAGTAGAAGAGCACCAGAATGCTCTAAGGCAAAGTAGTTCATCCCTGTCTCTTGGTAGCCCACAAATTTGGCTCTGACACATTAAATAATGACTTCAATAAGCCAGGAGTGCATCAGTGAAGTACAGGACCAACATTATACAGTGATTCATAATTACTGTTGTGAATTGTCATAAAATCCCCTGCTTAGGTGCCAACCAGTTCTTCTTTATGATAGTGTCTTGTGAATGCTTTATGCAGTATCTTTCCATAGTGTCTTACACAGAAGGTCTGCTGATGTTCAGATGACTTATTTAAGAGAACTTCATTGCCACAGTGTGCATTGCCAAAGATCTGAGACATTAAGCCATTGAAGGATGTCTACAAATCCCCAATGGGTTGTATGCCGGTAAGATGTAAAGTCTGTACAAGACACACAATCATAAAGACTCGACTGGCTGGGTTCATCTATGGGTCATAATAAGACCCTGAACAAACTCTTGTGAAATAGTTCATTAAGCTTAAACCGCAAAGAGTCATCGTATCAATCATCAAAGCTTAACGTCACGGCAAGCAAATCATACCTCTGAAGAGATTGGGCTTATCTCAGAGGTGAGATATTTTAGGGACAAAAGGGATGTATTCTGCATGAAAGGAACGTGGAAGAAAAGAAGCTGAAGGAATCTGAGAAGAATGAAATGGAGGCGGAGAGGACGGAGAAACGCGGCTCCTCGCTGACGAGCGTGTGGGGTTCAGCATCCCTCTTTCACCCTTGTCCACTACTGCTTCTTCTATTCAGTTCTCACCTATCTGAGGTCAGAAAAGGTCCCAGCAGGATTCAAATAGCAAAATCGGATCCACAGTGAAGATCTCAGGTCAACATTTAGATAAATTCCTGTGTGTAAATGAGGACCTTAGTAAGAGAAATCATTTTTTTTATCATTTCCAGAAGCTTGGCAGGGTTCCCTATCCAAAAGGTTTTGTGGAGTTGTGTTTCCAGGGTTTTTTTTTAAAGGCTTTTCTAGACAAAACAAGGAAAGGCAGGCTTCAGAAGTCTGGGAGTGTGTTTGTGTGTTGGTTAGTCTGCTGGTGGGGTTGGGTATACTGACAGAACTGGTTGGACTGGTGTGTTGAGGGCTGACTTGGTGAAGTCTGGTTTGTTTGCTGGTTTTCTGTTTGGTACCGTTCAAGCTCTCTCTTCCTCCTCATTGCTGACTGTAGCTGCAGCTTGATCGCAGTGATTTGACCCTCCAGTTCTGACAGTTCTTGCACCAGTGGGTTTTGACCAACTTGGCCAAGAGTACTATCACCCACTCTTAAGCTGCAGCACTGCGTTGTAGTCTGTCCAGATCCTTCTTGTCCTTGGCCCAAAACACGTCCTAACAGGTCAGAGCGGCCATTGGAGGTGGTCACTATGGGCATGTGTTTCTCCAGCAAGGGGAGAGTGTGAGGATGAGGGCGGGGAGAAGGTGGAGGTGGCGGTGGAAGGTCCTGGGAGGATGGATGTTCCAGGTCATTCTGAATATCTTGCGGAAGAAACCTTCGCCGGTTGCAGTGGGAGGATTCTGCAGGATTCCAAGATGCTGACTGGTTGTTTCCTTCGTTGCACCTGGGATGAGGCAGAGGAAAAAATGAAATGTCGGGAAAGAAATCTGTATGCCAAGGTGGGTGAAGTGTGAATCATCATGCAACATGCTGGTAGGAATACTATGCAGGTAATCTTAGAAAAAAGCTGACTGGTACAGACACAGAGAGAACATGATTTATTTATTTATTTATTTATTTTTTGCCTTAACTTAGGAGTTGTTGTGGCACATAAAATGTGCAAATGTGAATTACACTGAACAATGTTGGAAGAGATATCATCAGTGAATCATATCAGAAGAAGTACCATGCCAGCATGTCTGTCTAAATCATTCATTGTTTTTATTATTGACTTTGCTTTACTGTTGATAACCTATTCATTTCATACAAATATGAATATGCTTAGATGTTAACAAAAAGGATTTTGTTAAACATCCATTTTAAAACACTTTAATACAGACTTTATATTAGATTTACATCTAGCATCCTTCTGTGCCAGCAGTGAGCCTAACAATCCTTTGCCAGCCAACCTGGAGCTTCAGTTTTTACCGTGAAGTTAAAACCACAATGCTTTAGTTTGACAGTGCTGCCAACTTTTAGTGGAAGCATGTGTCACTTTGCCGTTCCTTTTTTTTTTTTTTTTAACCTCTTTTTCTTGATCTCAGGAGTGATGTGAACATTCAAAATCCTTTAATCAGTGTCCACTTTACCATCTGTTTATTTCTCCTTTTCATCTTGTTTATTACTCATAATAATGATTTATGAAGGGTAATTTGGAGCCACCATAAACAATATAAGACAAATTTGGATTATATTCCCCAGGAGTTTGAGGCCAACCGACTTCATGAAAAACAGTTGCCGGGCTGAAACACTTTTTTTTTTTAGATTAAAAAAGCCTTCTTGGACTTTTGCGCAAAAACAATATTTT